TTTATAAATTGTTAAACCATGAGCATTACACTAATATAAAATTTATGCATTTATTAAACAGGCGAAGCAATATAAAACTTTTAACAAAATTTATTTTACCAGAACCAAGGCATATGTTATTTATAAATAAAAAGTAAACTAAGATCTCTAGTATATAGTAAATACAGTAGTGTGGTTTAATTTAGTATATAGACTATGAGTAATAACATGTCAGATATAATAACATGCTTTTAATGAAGTATAATGACTAAAAATTTAATATAATTACCTAGCATTAAAAAGGTTTTGCTTTTATTAGTAGTAAATTTTTCTGTTTTCATTTCGCATATCAAAAGAATTTTTAATTGATTTGATTGGCCAGTAATCATACTTGGATCTACATAAATTAACCAATCACATGAATGTTATAACCAGTGTTGGAAATCTGTTTTGAGATTTATGTTCTCATGAGAGCATATTTATTTGATTTAGTGTTCTCAAAATTTTATTTATATTTAAGTTCTCAACATTAATCGCTAAAATTATTGATATCCCTATTTTCGGAAATTATCGGACATTTGTTCTGATTTTTATTCCAACCCTTATCGTATTTTATGTTCATTCATTTTCCTTTCGGATAAATTCGGAATTTCAATTTCCATCTGGAATTTTGCTATTATACTTAGAAAACATGCTTTTTCAGCATCATGTTCTCGGATTTTTTTTCATAGAGAACATATATCAAATGTTCTCAAATCTAAAAGGATGTTCTCATGAGAACATAAGATTTCCAACACTGGTTATAACCCGAGTCTATAATCATGTAGGAAAATTTTATATGGTATACTTGTGGCTATATTTTATAGTGATAATGATTAAAAATTACAAAAGCAAAATAGTAATTGATGAATTAAAACCACCAGGTGCTGAAATTCTAAAACGTTTTATGATAAATTAATGAGGACAAAGATCGGAAAAAACGTATGGGCATTTACAGAATGGCAAACCAATGAACAGGTCATATCAGAATTACCAGAGTTCGAAGAAAGATTATTGACTTAAAGAAGTTAATGAAAATAAGTTGATTTAATCAATAAATATAATATCTAGATCATCAAGAAAGTTTAAATTATCTCCTTACAAAGGATTCTGTTAAAATTTTACTTTTATGAACTTATTTATATTAATTATTGAAATTTATAACATGTAAATATTATCATACTTAAAATTCTATAGGCTGCAGAGCCGGTCAAATCGTAGCGATAACTGTATATGGAAGGGAACACTACAAATGGAATCGAAGACAACAAGGCAAGGATTGCAAATAACGTGCGGATAATAGCGAAACATGTAAAAGCGAGAAAGCACTGTATTGAGTGGGAGGAATCGATTCATTGTTCTTAATATATAAATACGCTTTTATTTCATTTCATTTCGACACAAATATTCTTTAGAATTCAATTATAGGATTTTCCTAGCATTATAAATGATATAAATAAAGTATGAAATTGGTCATTAATATTGATGTTAATGTTTGCGCTATATTAGCATGCGGTATTTTTTGCCGTGATATTTTGCATAAATAATTATATCATTTTATGACAAAAAATCAAGGCAAAGAAAGTTTACATGATTACTAGTAGCTAAGCACGTCAAAATGTCCGTGCTTAAGGTAACTCGATAAGTCATAAATCGGAATAGAGGAATAGATTAGTCATGCAACCAAAATTCATCAGATCGACCAAATTTTCAGTCGGAATGGATCGGAATTGATAAATTTTTGCCAGTGATTTAGTGTAGCGCCCAGATTTGGGAGAGTGGTAAGTGAACATGAGCGGTTTAGCTTTGGGCACTGTATAGGTTATGTGGGATGAATGTTTTATTAGGGTTTCGGGTTTTAATGATAGTTGTAAATTAAGGAGAGTATAATCATTAGAGCAATAGAAATTAATTTGTTAATTGTGTGTTCAACCTTCTACTCGTTTATGCTTCCTGTCGAATCTTTTCATCTTACTATCTTAATAAAGGTTATACATTATAGTTCACATTCTACACCCGATTTAGTTATAATACATAATTAATCAGGAAAATGTAGTAATAATATATGATCAAATTATTACGATAAAAATGTAATCATGGAATATTCCAATCGCCTTCTCCAATGCATTCTGACCCTAAAATTTTGCCGATCTGATGAATTTTATTACACGACTAATCTATCCGGAAAATCGCATGATCATACCATATTAGGATTTTTGCTATAACACGGGACTATGATTCTTCCGAAGGGTGAATTAAGATCCCATATGTAACTAACGAATGAACAATTAATATGAGTGACGCTAAGTGAAAATGAGACATTGGTTTATCATTGATTATTTATTTAAATAATAAATGATAATAAATGATAAACCAATGTCCCATTTTCCTTTGGCGTCACTCATATGTAATGTACAATAGTATGAGATAAAATAGGATAGCTAATTGGAAATAAAAATAAAAATTATAAAAAAAAGAAACACATTGAGATTAAAAAAAAAAAAAGATAGGTTAAATGTATGAATCCAAAATGTATAGAAATTATTTGAGCATTGTCAAGAGAAAATGAAACTTCGAACTCTCAAGCTTATTATTTATTATTTATCAATTCAGGTTTTTAAAGGCCAAATCCGGTAAATAATAAATTATAAAATGGAAAGCCCGAAGTATCATTCTCTTCTTCATTTATGATAGTTTAACAATCGGAAATACTGAAATAACAATTTTATTATTTATTTGATTTTTTTTTAATTTTTTTATTTAATAATATAAATGCTATTAACATAGCTATATACCATACTTAAATTATAATTTAAGATACTAATTTAGAAAATGTACTGTAACTTGCATTATTTTAATGCGCATGTAAACTTATTGAAATACTAAGAGAACCTCTGCAAAAATTTTGTACGCGTATCTAAAAATAAATCAGCAGGCAAGTAATCAAAACTTTGCTAAGACAAAAAGCTTGTTTCTTGTGTAATATTTTACGATAGGATTTTCGAAATCTGTGCTAAGCTGTGTTGATCTCTAAATTTAAAAGATCAGTATATATAATAATATGGATGATCATATTAGTATGATAAAGAGTGTAAAACACCTATTTTAAAAACTATATATACCATACTAATATTCCTATCGATAATTTCTAAACCTAATACAGTAATATATGACATCAAATCAGCATGGTATCAATTTTAAAATAAGTACTTTATACCCATACCGTACGAAGCTACAATGCACATTAGCCGATCCTTTTTAGGTGTTTAAAATAAGTGAACGAAATCGACAAACTTAAAAAAAGATCAACAGATGAATAGATATGGAACCTAAAATTGGTCAATCTAATCTGTTAAGTAACAGGAGAAATTTAAAACCTTTATTAATTAAAGGATCACTTATGTTATTATTTCAGTATGTCCTAACGTTTTGAAAAATATTGAAAATTCGAACTAAAAAGTACCAAATGAGTGCTGCCAGAGAAAACCTAGAATTCTTAATTTTCGGAACCTCCGCTTTTAAAAATAGACAATATCAAAATCTTATAAACAATTCCAGGTTTTTCCTCAAATGATCATCAGGTAATACAAAATACAATAACCTAATCAGATTCATTTATTCCGGATACACGGTTAAAATTTTACTAATACTAGTCTCAGGGCACATCCTTACGTCCGTGCTAGGAATCATAAAGCTAAAATATGATAAAATATAGTTATTATCTCATGTCGGTTTCATGCAAAATAATTCTATATAGTTCTATTTGGGTGTCACGTATTAAAACAGCCCATTTTTACATATAAAAAATTTTTGTGTAAATCAGTGTTGAATAGTGTCCATGTCCATATTCCATTGTCGAATATTCTGGAATATTTCGGACATTTGTCCTAATTTTGGCTTATTCTATCCAGAATATTTCGGAATAGTCATTACAAAAATATTTGAATTTTATTGGCTACACACTCACATGTTTGATTTGGACTAAATGCCTAATGTCTAATAGAAAAAATATGGACAATACGGACATAGTCCATAAATATCCATGTTCATTGGCCTATAATGCCCATATTCATATTTTGCCAACACTGATTTTAAGTGATGATCTGCAAATAGTAATATACAACTTAAAGTTCATTTTGGGAATCTTTTTATTATAATTAGCTTTTGTAACTTAAATGAAAAATTTTGAAAAATCGTCAAAATGGGCTGTTTTAATACAATCGACATGACATGAATGTACATACGTACAAACGTAGTATTGCAAGAAATGAATAAACCTCGGGATCCTGTTATAGAATAAATTCGGATATCTGCTATTACGATGATTTTTACATTACGCAAATATCAGCCAATAGATCTGTTACTATATGATCATCATGTGTTTTCTGTACGACTACACATAGGCTATACCTATACCGTATTATACTATTTGTAATATATACCACTATAATACCAGTATTATAAGTATAGGTATAATACCAATAATAGAAATGGGTTAGCCAATTAAATTGCTTTATCTGCAATTCCAAAAGTTTCCCTAAGAATAATTCCGAAAAATTCCGAGTCATATTAAGCCGAGAGTAATATGCGTATTATACTTGGGTTTTATAGTACCATTTCTATTATACCGGTATAACCGCATCCCTTAATAGATAGATTTACATTATATCATTTCGAATAGCAGGAATCTCGACTGGAAGTGATGGTTTTGGAGTTTTTTTTTCTGAAATTCTTTCGTGCAATATGAAAGTTACGAAAAAATTTTTTTGCTCTTTTATGAGAATTTCACTTAAAGAATATGACCGCTTGTTGGGCGAAGCTGAAAATGAAAAGGAAGTATTTATCAAAGACAAAAAGTATTTACAAGAAAAAAAGATAGGCATTCTTATGATGCTTAAATTGTACATACTGTATTTATAAATAATTGAATTTTTAAAATTTTATATAATAAGTTATACATTAAAAATATCTTATTAATGGTTTCAGCGAATTTCACCATTATTTGGAATTTCGATATCAGTTTGGTCCAAATTTATTGCTTTTAGAGTGTTCTGTGGAAGCTTTGTACATCCACACTTTTTCTCCAATTTCGAATCCGGGGGCTAATTTATGGTGAGTATCATGGTAATGTTTTTGTTGTTCTTGAGTTTGCTGAATATTTTCCAATGCCATATTCCTAATTTGTGGAAGCCATTCTATCAGTTCATAGGTTCTTTGAAGGATGGTCCTTTCTAATAGTTTTTTGGTATTATTGGGATGTATAGGTTGCCGCGCTTCCCGGCCATATATGAGGTAGAAAGGGGACATTTTTGTTGAAGAATTTTTAGCGGTGCAGTATGCAAAAAGGATAGAAGGGATTAACAAATCCCAGTCAGGTACGTTTTCAACAAGTTTTGCTATGGCTTCACACAGTGTTCGGTTAAAACGCTCTACCAACCCATTGGTTTGTGGGTGGTAGGGCATTGAAAGTTTATAATTAATGGTAAACTTTTCTATAAATGCTTTGATCATGTTATTGTTGAAGTGGGTACCTCGGTCTGAGAGAATACGTTCGGGGCAGCCGTGCCGACATACTATTTCATTATATAAAAAGTCCGCAACAGTTATTGCATCGGCTTTTTCTACGGCCATGGCCTCGGGCCATTTTGACATATAGTCCACGGCGACCAGAATATATCATTTTAGTCTTGGTGTTCGTGGGAGCGGGCCGACAAAATTGATACCGATTTGGTGAAAGGGCGCAGTTATAGGGATTGGGTGTAACGGTCCGACGATTCTTTTCTTTCCTCTTTGCTGACATCGTTCATACTTCTGGACGTAATTTCAAATGTCAGTGTATATTTGGGGCCAGAAGTATAGGTTCCTTATTTTGTCAAACATTATATCTTTATTGAAATGTCCGCCAAGAGGATGCTGGTGGGTTAAAAATAATATCGGCTCCAATTCGTGTTTTTGAATTACATGCAACAGATGACTCTTCTTTCTTCTATCATGCTTGTAGATAATTCTGGTTTGATAAGTATAAAATTCGCTTTTCTTTTGTAGTCTTTGCCTTTGGACATCATCAAGATTTGAAAGTAGCCTTCAAGTTTGCAAGTAAGTCTTGAGGTGGTTGTAGTGAGTGGGCTCTATTTTCTCTTTTTTTTTTTTTTTTTTTTTTTTTTTTTTGAATAAAACTTTATTTTATTAGTTTTCAGGACACCGGAACCTGGGCTGGATTCTGTACCTCGGATTTAAGGAAATTAGCAATGGGTTTTTTTTTTTTTGTTGTCTTTTCACATAATTTGTCTTTCAGATAGTGTTTTAAATTCGGGATAACGCGTCAGCGTTACTATGTTTACGTCCTTTCCTATGATGAATGGTAAAGTCATAAGGTTGCAAACGGAGCATCCACCTTGCACGTCGTCTGGTAAGTTTCAAAGTTTTTAGCCATTTTAATGCACTATGATTGGTAATAACTACAAAAGAGTTTAGGCCGTAATAATGGTGAAAATGTTCCACTGCCCACAAAATGGCCAGGCATTCCAACTCGGTTGCGGCATAATTTTTTTCGTATATAGTTAATCCTCTGCTGGCGTACGACACAACAAATTCTTTACCGTTATCATCTTTCTGCGAAAGCACTGCACCAAGTCCGGAACCCGAAGCGTCAGTGTGAATAAAGAAGGTCTTGGAAAAATCGGGATACCGTAGGATGGGAGTCGTAATAAGGTGACATTTAAGTGATTCAAATGTGTACTTTTGATCGTTATCCCATTTGTACTCAACGTTCTTTTTTAGTAAATAATATAGCGGGCGGGCAATGGTGGCGAAGTCTTTAATAAATCATCGATAGTACGACGCCAACCCAATAAATCCCCGGAGTTGTCGTAAAGTTTTCGGGATCAGAAAATTTTTTACTTTCTCGATTTTCGATTCGTCGGGTTTGATTCCATCTCTTCCAACGATGTGACCAAGGAAGTGGATATTACTGCGAAAAAAGGTATATTTATCAAAATTTAATTTTAACCCGGACTCCTTTAGCTTCTTAAAAACTATACTAATATGATTTAGGTGCTTATAAAAATTTTCAGAATAAATATTTATGTCGTCAAGGTACACTACGACAAATCTTCCAATATAATCGGCCAATATCTTATCCATTAGCCTTTGAAAACTGGCAGGGGCATTACACAGCCCGAAAGGCATAACGTTAAATTCATAGGTCCCACAAGAGGTAACAAATGCTGTTTTTTCTTTATCCTTTTCATTTACTGGTAATTGCCAGTAACCACTTAATAAATCCAAAGAACTGAACCATCTTGCTTTAGAGAAAGTTTCCAAGAGATTATCCACGCGGGGAGAGAATAAGAGTCCTTTTTTGTAACTGCGTTTAATTTGTGGTAATCGATGCATAACCGCAACTTTCCACCCTTTTTGGGCACTACCACGACGGGGGAAGACCAAGGACTCTGTGACTCGCGAATTAACCCTCTTTCTTTTAATTGGGTTATTTCTTTTTTAATAAATTCTTTAATGCTGGGGGCGGCCCTATACGCATTTTGTTTTATGGGTGCAGCGTCACTCGTGTTGATCACGTGGTTAGTTCTTTCGGTACGTCCAAGTTCTTCAACGTTTCGGGCAAAGATTCCTTTTTCCTTCTTTATTAAATCTTTTGCCTCTTTTTGTTGTTCATCATTCAACTTCTTACTAACTTCCATTTTTTCAATTTTTTCTTCGATAGATTTCTCTTCATCTAACGATGCAGTGGGTAATTCTTCTACATGAGACAAATACACAGCAGGGCTTTGAGCATCTTGCCAGGGGTTAATGTACAATTCTGAATCTTTTTTTTCACTCAACATTTCTTCCGTAAAATATCTGTCAGTTTCTTCAACTTCTTCATTTTCGTAGACCAATTGATCGAACAGATCATCATCATTATTTAAGGGATCTTTGGGGTCTTCCCTTTTCTCATTTAACAACTTTCTTGGTCCGCTATTAGTGATGGGCACCTCAACGACTCTTCCTAAATACTTTAGGATTAATTTTTGTTCATCAAAGTATATACGGGCTCTTACTTTTTCGAACCAATCATTACCCAACAAGAGAGTCTCATCTACTGACTCGATTACTTGAAGTGGGCTTGGAATAGCTAAGTCTTGAACCATGATTTTTACATTTTTGATTTTTCCCAAAGTTCTATTTCTTACTCCAGTGGCAGTACTATAACTGTAGTGGAACTTTCCTCTATTTTAAGGCCAAGCTTATTCATTAGTTTCTTCGTTATAAAGCTTGCTGCGGCACCCGAATTTAAAATCGCGACGACTGGGCTATTTCGGATTCTTACATTACACCTCGCAGCAGTGGTTCTTTTTTCTTCTTCGTCTACGTAATTTGTTTCCTCTGTTATTAATGGTCTTCGAAGAACTTTTGCCAAGTTTTTTCTTTGATTTGGGTAATGGAGCATTTGTCCTACTGTTGCATTGACACGTGTGTTAAGAATATCATCAGCAACATTGTAAGCAACGATTGAATCTACTATCGAAGGGCCTCTTTTTCTTCTCGGGGCTCGCGCCGGAGTAAGTAAATCATTATCTTGCATTAGGTCATCATCATTGACTAGAGGGTAGGTTTCTTCAAATTCTCTAGGTTGGATATTGACCGTTTTCTTGTTTCTTCCCATTGCGATTCTGAGTTAGATTGAGTATGCTCCCTATCTTCTCCATCATAAGGTTGGTACCTATCATCGATAGTGTACATTTCTCTTTCGTTATAAACATCGTTAACTCCACCGTAGTGTGCCTCAGTTTCACGTTTTGCGGTCCTGTTGGGTTGAGTAGGTTTTTCTCCACGGGGAACTGGTGTTTCTCTTTCTGCAAGACAATCTCTCGAATAGTGGCCTTTTTCACCACACCTAAAGCAAGTCACCATACTAATCGGTCTACTGGTTGGTCTAGTTCGTGGAGTACTTGATTCAGCTTGGGTTGCTAATAGGGCCATAAGTTTGGCGTAATTGATACTCATATTTTGAAATTGTTGCACCAGTTCACTTATATCTTCTTTTAATTTATCCTTATTTCCTCCTTTTTTCTTTTATCGCTATATTTCTATAATAACCTCTGGCTTCGCTCTTTTTAGCTGTAGAGATGGCTTCTTCCAAGTTTTTTGGGTCTTTTACGGCAACAAATGACGCTATTTTTCCTTGTAGGCCTCTGATAAACATTCGTATGACGTATTCTTGGGGCAAAGCAGTTCCAGAATTTACTCTTTTTAAGAGATTTTTAAATTTATAGGTGTAGTTTCCTACACGTTTACCTTCTTGTTGCTTTAGTGAATTTAATTCGACCTGCCATTGGTGTCTTCGTTCCGAAGTGGTGAAGTATTTTAAAAATTCTGGCACGAAACTTTCTTCTTGATCATATTGTTCGTCCCAATATAATAAGGCTTCTTTATTGTCGTGAAACCAGTCTGCAGCAATTCCTGCGAGGTATCCAGTTGCAATTTTAATTTTTCTTCGATTTGCCCAGTTATTAGTGTCGGCAGCACATTCAAAGGCTTCTATCCACTTGAAAGGGTCTTCCTCTTCTTCTCCGTAGAACGTTCTAACTCTTACCCAGTTATTTTCTCGTTGCTCTGGTCGTACATCGTGAATAGCTCTTAAAGTTGCATCTAGAAAGGCATTTGCTATTTCTCTAAGAATTATATTTACTTGATCCTGGTTTACTTGCATAACTTCGTTTTCATTTTCATTTTCGCTTTGTACAGATCATTGGTCTTCTGAAGAATGGTCGAAGTGAAGGTTTTCTTCCATGTAAAATAAATGAAAAGGTGTTTGTAAAATGTGGGTTATCTTTTTGTTATGTTTATACTTAGTGGTTTATATGTTAGAAGTTAAATAGTGAAAAAAAGAAAAATTCCTATGAGAAATTTCTACTTATACCAATTTTAGTAATTACCAATGTTAAAAATTTATCGATCTTATAACAGTGTTCATTTTAGTAACTTTTAAATTTTCAATTTACGGCTCAATTATGAGATAATTATGACAAAAAATAATTCAGTTCGATTACTAATTTCAAAGTTTAATTAGTAACTCTTTAATTTTCAATTCATGACTCACTTATGAGGTAATTAAAAAAAATTGTTGGATTACTAATTTAAAGTTTAATCGTCGATCGTTCGTCACTATGATGCTGAACACTCAATTATACTCTTAACAGTATTATCCAAACAACGTTTCTTGTAAATCTTATATCCAGTATTGTTTTATTCCCACTCCTCTGCATTACTGATACTACATTCCTATTATTCCTTACCATCATAGCGCTTAGAATCACAAATAATCATACAATCATTCTCATAAAAAAAACAATTATCACATCCAAAGAACGACCATATAAGGCTAGATAACAAACAAAAAAATGTAACCATAAAGTCATTTGATTTCGCATAATGATCGCCCTGTCACTTCGTAGACATGCAGCAAATCATTTTTACGATTAGCGTTAGGCATCTTATTTATTGGTTGCAATCTTACTCGTGATCCGCCACATTTCCTTTTAGACTAAAACAGA